CCCCAAAACCCCAAAACCCCAAAACCCCAAAACCCCTTATTTTTTCCGATTCATAGAAAATCGGTCGTTTGGTAGGATATTAAAAAATCTCCAAGGTAATAATAAAATTAAAAGATTTTGCAATGGGAGCTGCAAGTACTGCTACTTATCTCGAAGCTGGTAAGAAACATCCAGATACCGTCGCCTATAAGGATTCAGACGTCCTCGCAACTCATGGTGTCATGCCAACCAGGATTACTGCAATCAGAGTCTACTGGAGCGAATACTGTGTAGGATTTGAATGTTTCTATGATGGAACTTCCGCAGGAGCTAGACTCGGTACAGAGTATGCACATGGAACTGTCTACAGTGACTTTGTCCTTGCTGATGGAGAATACATCACTGAAGTCTCAGGAAGAAACGGAGATTTGATCGATCAAGTTACAATTCACACTAATCTTGGAAGATCTCAGCAATTCGGAACTTCGACCGGAGGACATCCCTTCAGATTATACGATACAGGAAAAGTAGTAAAGGGATTCACTGTCGGATTCGGAGGACACTTACATTTCATTGGTGCTCATTTCGACTACCTTACTCCTCCAATCACCAAATCAACTACATCTGGAAAGACCCACGCTGATACTGTTGCCTTTGACGATTATGAATCTCACCTCAAGGGAAAGAACAATATTGAAATGACTGAGATTAGAGTTCTCCATGATGGTAACTTAGTCTTTGGAGTCGAAGGAATCTATACTGCTGATGGTTTACAATACACTCCAGGCACTCACGTTGGAAAAGAGCTCAATACTGCTACTGTCAATCAATCCATATCTTTAGTAGGAAAGCATATTACAGGAATTAGCGGAAGACACGGAGATGTTATGGATAACCTCACTATTACTCTCTCTGATGGAACTTCCTACTCCTTCGGAGGAACTGGAGGATTTGCCTTCTCAAACTTTGTACCAGCTGGAAAGAAAGTAGTTGCTCTTGGAGGTGGATTAGGAGGACATTTGCACAACATTTTCTGCTATTACCAATAACTTAAGATTCTCTCATCAGTGGTTCATCAATAATTTTCTCAAAGCTAGGGGTTTTGGGGTTTTGGGGTTTTGGGGTTTTGGGGTTT